AGACAGTTTGTCTAGCTTAACAATTCACTTTTGCAACCTTGTTCTTGGACATGGATTCTACACACAGCCATGCCATGTTCTGTTCTCAGGTCATCTCATTTTGGCTTCCTGTCTGATTCCTCAATATATCAACAATTCTGGTTTCAATTCTCTCACTCTGACAATTTCAGCCAACATATCCCTAGACTATGTTATCTTGTGGAAGAAATTGTAAATAAGCAGCTTTATCAAAAAAATAAGTATGTGTTGCCTATTGTATAAAATTTTATATATGATAAAAACAATTGTATATATTCATGGGGTACAATGTGATGATGTATGCACATACATATTGTGGGATGATTAAATCAAACTGATCATTACAACCATAGCACACGTACTTATCATTTACTTGTGAAAACATTCCAAATCTGCTATTTTAATAGTTTTGAAATACAAAATACATCATTAGTTTGCTATTGCCACCATACTGTGCCATATATCACTACCTGAAACATGGTATACTTTGACCAACATTTCCCTTTCCCTCATCTACGCCTCTTCTCTGAGCTTCCAGTAACTTCCATTCTCCTCTCTACTTCTGCGTTTAGCTTTGGAAGTTTCCACATGAATGAGATCATACAGCCCAGCTGATCCAATCTTCTGTGTCTGTGGGTTCTGCATTCATGGATTTCATCAAATGTGGTTCAGAATTATTCAGAAAAAAAATGCATTTGTACTGATCATATATTTATTTTCTTGTCAATATCCCCTAAAGATACAATATACGAACTCTGTAGCACTTATATTGTGTAAGGTATTATAAATAACCTAGAGAGGATTTAAAGTATAAAGGAGATATGCAAAAGGTTAAATAAAAATATCACATCATTTCATATAAAAGGATTTGAACATTCTCAGATTGTGGTATATAGTGGGGGTCCTGGAATTAACCCTCCAGAGGTACTGAACAGCCATATTTGTCTTTTTATCACTTAGCATAATGTCCTCCAGAATCATCAACATTGTCACAATAAGTGTTTATTCAAATAAATTGAAGTCAGTACACCAAAGAGATATGCAAGTTCATTGCAGCATTATTTATAACAGCTAGATATGGAACCAACCTAAGCTTCAATCAGTGAATGAACCTAGAGACCATCATGCTAAGTGAAAACAAAAAACAATCATTTTTTTCTTCATCTTAAAAAAGAATAATTTTTGTTTTTGTGATGTTATTTGTTTTGGTTGTGATTCTTAAGAATTTAAATTTAGGCTTCTACCCTGAATTAAATAACCAGGATATCACCTAGTATGTAAATAAGCACCAGCAAAAACCAAGGAGACATGTCCCCTCTCTTCTCAAAGTGAAAAGTCCTCTTTGGAGAAACAAACTCCCTGCAAAGTGTAATAAATTTAGATTCTAGCAATGGTTCATTACAATCAGGAGCTGAGGTCTTTGCCAGTGACTCCTTTCCAGGGAGGATGAGTGCAGTCATGCACATTCAGAAAGGCACAGTCAATCTATACTCCTTACTAGAAGAGTGGACAGATACATGACAAAAGTCGGAGACCAGCACCCATCTCAAAGTCACACTCAAGAATGATTTCAAGGAAAGTTCAGTGAATATGTGGAGGCTTGGAGAGGATACACAGGACATTAATACTTGGTAGAAGATGCAGTCTCACTACGGTGAGCCATTGTGACTGACCAGACAACAGAGACAGGGAAGGGTCCCAGAAACGAAAAAGAAAACTTCTTTGTTTTCAATACATTAATTTCAGCTTCCCTATGAAACTCCATGGTTCACTAACAGGGTTCCTTGTTCTGTGATATGATGGAAACTTCCATGTTGTGCATGTCCAGTACACAAAACAAGCATGTTGGGGAAAAGTCAGAATCTCTCTGTTCGTTCAAGCTAACTATTCTTATGACCCTTGTCAGCCAGAAGCCAAAAGACAGAAGCCAGAGCTCAAAAGAGAGGAATCCACTGTTGCCCCTATTTGTGTCACGCAAAGGAGATTCTGTCATGAATGTAACTTGGATACTCACCAGCATCACAAGAGCTTTTTTGATCTATAGTTTTAGATGCCACTGAATCTACAAAACACATCTTTTCAAATTTTACAATTGGCACATTTACTGGAATCCTGGAGACCTCTTACAGAGTCTGTATGCTTTTCCAGGAATCCCCCCCTCCCAGAAACCACTCTCAAATATGGACCCAAATGTACAAACCCACACCTTAAATGGGAGTGCAACTAGAGAGAAAATCGCAATATAATAGAGTGAACATGACTCTGAGTGTCAAAAATAGGGCTCTGGGGTCCAGGGAAGAGAGCAGATAGGGATTGGAGACAAAATTAGAACCAGTAATCTGGTGCTTAGAGCATGAAGCCTCTGGGAAAACTCAGAGAATGAGAGGTTGGTGGTCTGGGAGGTTTGCTCTACTGTTTAAAGCAGAAAGGATGTAATATAGTACTCAACACAACATTTAATCAGGGGACAGCGGTCCCTAAATCAGTATCATCTGCTATTCTAGTTTAAAATCCATCCCAATCTCAGACATTTCTGTCAAAATTTCTATCTGAGAGGCTTCAGTTTCAGTGTTTCTGTCAAGCTCTTTGATGCTGATGCAACCAGACAAGTATGTGATTTGCACTACATTCAGAGGTATCCTGTCCACACAGCTAGTGATCCTAAGCCAACACCAGGCCAACTCAACCCAGTTAGAGAGACCACACAGACAATAGGGATGTCATTATCTAGGGCTATTATAATGGAGTGTACCAAGATGGAGCCAGGTTTTTTAAAAGAGTAATTAAACAAATGCATGGAAATCACAATTTTAGCTGGGTCAGGAGATATGCATGAGCTGAAAAATTCTCCTAAAAGCTTTTGGATAAAAACCTTTCCTTTTACTTCAGAGGCTCCCTCTTTGACTGTTACTAAGATGAGATATACTTACCTGACATTGGTTAACCCACACTAATAGAAGGGGATCAAGGCAGAGAAAACTAAGTCCCATGTGACCATAGGTGACTGAGCACCACTGACAGCTGGTGGAGGTGGGCAAGGGTTACGGACATCTCTGTCACAAATAGCTCAAACTGCTATAGCCTATTGGGACAAAATGGGATCAGGCTCCCAGAAACCAAAGAGTGTCCCTTTTAGACGAATGCTTCCATAACCAACTCTTAAGAGAGGGTCCAACATGGTAGTAGAGAGATCTAGGTTCGTCTCTGATTGCCCAGTTATGATGCAAATGTTATGCCAGTGAAATCTGGAACTAGGTTGTATTAGGACAGTTCTTTCCTAAGTGAGGGATTGAGGAAAATACAGTTGTTTTTTTAACTGTTTGTTTCTAGGACGCATAGCCATGTATTCATTCTACTTGGGCAAAATCAATGAGAATATATGTCAACTACCTTTCCAAAATTTCTACTGCATTAGACTATGGAGACAATGCCCAGTTCCTAATTCTTTGCTCTATCTTCAGTTCTCCAATGGAGACTGATTCAGCAGCAGGTCCAGGGGCCCAACTGTGTTATCTGGGATCTACTGGGCCCTTTTCCAGAGCCTATGTCCATCTTAAGGTCTTTCTTCCACCACTTTAAACATGTCCATGGAAAACAATGGACTCACTCTACCTCTTTCCTGAGTGCAATATTTTAAGAAACCTCTGCAGTTAAGAGTATTTATGACTAAATTTTGATTTCTCCTATTATTAATTTGCAGAACAAATAAATTATGCAATATCCAACATACTTAATAATTTCATTCCCAAGAAGTGGAACCCCACACACACCCCTAAAACAACATTTAAAAAGACAAAGGAGGCAAAGCATATTTGGACAATTTACAAGAATGTTTGAATATGAGTGTCTAGCCATGGCACATCCTTTTTAAGAATGGAGGTTAAAATATACTTTAAATTGTACAGCTGGCAAAAAATAAACTTGAATTTGACTTCCTCTTGGTTATTCTAGAGAAGCATAGGAAAGCCTTCTTTATTCTCATATTGAATTTGATTTAACATGCAAACCAGAATGGTAGATAGAAACTGAGTTATTCCTTAATGCAACCAACAGTTATACATGATATTTCTTTCACAAAACATTTCATGTAATATCTGTCAGTTAATCCTTAGAATTTTTTAATATATCATGTACAGATAAGAAAAACAAAGCTTCATCAACTGAAGCAGTTTACTTCATCTGCACACAAATGGAAATCAAGTATTACAATTCTAAATTCCAAAGTCTCTTTCATTGTATTTCCAGCTCATTTGTTGATTAGCCTGGTAACCTCACCAAATGACTTCATATAAACCTTATGTTTCTTATTTGTAGAATTAGTAGCTAGATTATGAAACCTTTGGTCATAGCAAGTTTGCTACCCAGGACTCAGTTTATTACAGACTCTCCTCTCCTTCAGCTTTGCCATAATCTACTCTCTTGAACGATAATCAGGAGGAACCTCTCAAAAAGCAATGCCAAATGCCTTTCATTTCAAGATATTTTTCTGACCAATATCCACACTTGATTCCATCATTTCCATTAATGAAGGGCCTTCAATCTATTATTCACATGGATTCATCATTTGTTCTCTTTTCATCAATGTCTCAAGTATTGGAGGTAACATAACTAGAGTCACATCATCACTTCTAAAACAAAACCTCCAGAAGGTATGCATTTTCACAGTTTAAAAAAACAGGAAAAAGAAAAACCAAATCCTCACTGCCCTATTGCTGCAAACAATACCTATGACTACCTGTTTAAACTGAGCATTTCCAATGATATCGATGCCTCTACTTTTACATTGGCAATTCTTACGTGAAAAGCACTGACCTTGAAATCACTAAAGTACTTAGAATGAAAGAAGAAATCCATTGGAAAAAGCATACTTCATTTTGCTTAACCTTTCATTCCTTCTACACTATCTTTGTGTCACATAATACAAGTCATATAAGGTTTCTAGAAATAGTATACTCAGAGAGAATCTTGGTTTAGCAGCTTACCTGGTGGGATGAGATAACTGACCGCACACTCAGCATAGAGCAAACCCCACAGACCACTGCTGCTCTCAGAATAGCTCTCTTAACTCATACCCAGAGTCTTCAACTTCCATCCTCCTGTGGGGACCCTAAGGGTGTGCAGGGGGTGGGGCAGATTGGGGGGTGGGAAAGGCAGGCCGCAGATGGTGCCTATCACTTTCCTGGGGCTGGGCGTGACAGCAAGAAAAAGGCACTTACTTGCTACCAAATGACAGGTCGCCACCAGCACCTAAGGGACCCCTGAGAAGCAGGGCTCCTTGGAGCTCTGGCCTCCTTCTGGGCTTCCCTCTCTTCACAGATCCCTCTGGTTTCCTGAGTTCTGATTGCTTAGAAGGTGTTGCTCGGCAGGCAGGCGTCTGCTCCCTACAGGGGCTAACACTCAGGCCACAGCTGAGCCCCACTGAATTACCAGCTGCAAAACCAGTCACCGGGTGGCTTCCCAAGACTGACCCCAGACCCGCTGCCCAGATGCCAAGTGGAGCCGCGCCCGCCGCTTGAAAGCTGTTTTTGTCTCCTTCCCACGTCCCCCCTCCCCTCTCCCAGCCACGCCACTCTCTCCCCCGCCCTCATCCCCAGGCCAGTGCGAGACTTCAGCCCGGATCGGGCGTGGGCGGGGAGATCTTGATGGGATCCGCTGCGGAGGCAATAGCAGCGGCAGCTGTGGCGTCTGCTCTACCTACCTGGGCGAGGAGGGGCGAGAGATTCGGGGATTGGTGAGGAGGAGGGAGCTGAGATAACACTAGGAGGGTTTACGGTAATTAAGAGAAAAGCCATAGAAGAGCCGGCTGCGGTTAAATTGGGGAGGTGGGTAATGAAAAGCATGGTGAGGAGAGGGGAAGAGAGGAAGGCAGCACAGTTAGGCTCTGTATCTGCAGTTGTTTCTCTCGCGCCTTGCCTCGCTACCCCTCTGCAGCTTACAGGGGCAATTGTCAACGTGCAACATCGCAATCTGGACAGGGCTGTGATGACTGTGTGCTGTTGTGTGTGCAGGTGTGTAGCTGTTAAGGAAGAGACAGCTAGAGCTACTATAATCTCCTACCTCCAGATTTCTTTCCTACTGTGGTGATTTGAAACACAAGAGATAGAGGAAAAATTGTGCATACTTTTAAAACCTGGGGAACTACAGTGCAGTTTTGTAGGAGAAGGGAAGAGGGGTGCTGGGTCTTTTCCAAAAAGGAGTTTGGAAAAATTGTTGCCACACCACAGAACATTCATTCTCTAACCCTTTTATCAGACAGCACATTATTTAATCCAAAAATCAGCGTATCTATAAATAACAAGAAGTTTTAAAGCATTTAATCCAATACCATCCTTACACTTAAAAAAATCAGGAATGATTATTTTGCAGAATCAAGCACCCACTCGTGTTCTTTTTCTTCTTCAGGCTTTTTATTTTTACCTTCACTTTTCAAAGGTCTTTTTAAATTTTATTTAAGGTATACAAAAAAGTATTCCACAACGTATAGTTTTCCAGCTTCACTTCTCCACACTGTGATGACGATGCAAGCACATTTTGTAGTGTGTTAGGACTTTCCCCTGAAGCAATCATAACGAAGCATACTTTCTGAACTACTAAAATTCTATGCTCCTGGCAGTACATTCAAATATAATATGAACTTTAGAAACTTAGCAATACTCATACAAAAAGCTTCAGTAAGATATTTGGAAATAAGTAAAGAGAAGCATTGCTTTCTATGAGTGTAACACTGGCAGTCCCTCATAAGGTATTGCACAAAACAAGAGGCAAACACAAGGGAAACCAATGTAATGAGTCTCTAGTCTACGTTCAGCAACATTTCTGTTGTTCTGGAACAAATATTTTGCTATTACTGTTGGGTGACACTGCTGGGCTAGATCTGAAATATCTTGGTAATGTTTCTGCTCCTAGTAGTGAACTGAGAAACATAATCTCTTTCCTCCTCCTGCACTATCCAGCACACTGAATTTCTCAGCCAAGAGAAGTGGTGGTTAGAGAGGCCCGTTTTCCACTCTTTTACCTTAAGAAACTTACAATCGTGTGTTCCATGTGCTTCTTAAGGGTATTCAGAAAAAAATGGAAGCTCTAAACCCCCATTCTCTGCCTTTTCAGGAGAAATCGCTATTTCTAACTAAACCTGAGCCAGTTGGCTTCCTGGGTTCATTACTTTCCTTGTAGCCTATTTAAATGCGGTTGTTTAATTCTAACCACACAGGTGTTACTGCAGGAAAGTACATGGACCTGGTGGTTTCATTCTCAATCCACATGAATACATCAGGGTTTACAAAACAATCTATTTTTTTTTTTTTTTTTAATTTTTGACAGGCAGAGTGGACAGTGAGAGAGAGACAGAGAGAGAAAGGTCTTCCTTTGCCGTTGGTTCACCCTCCAATGGCCGCCGCTGCAGCCGGCGCACCGTGCTGATCCGATGGCAGGAGCCAGGATCCAGGTGCTTTTCCTGGTCTCCCATGGGGTGCAGGGCCCAAGCACCTGGGCCATCCTCCACTGCACTCCCTGGCCATAGCAGAGAGCTGGCCTGGAAGAGGGGCAACCGGGACAGAATCCGGCGCCCCAACCGGGACTAGAACCCGGTGTGCCGGCGCCGCAAGGTGGAGGATTAGCCTGTTGAGCCACGGCGCCGGCTTTACAAAACAATCTATTAAAAAAAAAAAAAAAGACAAGAAAACAAGTGTTCCCAAACCTAAAAAAAATTTAAAAAATCAAATCTGCCTTTGAGTGAAAATATGTCCTCCAGCTCTACCATCCTTTTCCTTTTCTGATCATAATAATCTTCTGACTCTATGACTTTATTATTTATTAAAAATTTACTTTTTTTGTTGGCAGTCTTCCCCTCCGTCTGAACTCTTGCTGTCATTCTTAATAACTCTTCATCTATTTGAATACAAGGAACATTGTATGAAACATCCAATGTCCAAAGCCCTGATTTCATCCCTAATAAATTACATTTTCTCCATGCTATTTAACTATTAATTTCCACACTCACACTTTGAATCTTGTCATAGTTAGCAACTGCTTTGTCTTTCTCTATACTGCTGATCTGTTGCACTAAATATCTATTGCTTATTTGTTTATTTTTTCTTGTTCCACTAAGATGCATACTGCTTGACAGCTAGCACTTGTTTATTCCACACTGCCCAGTGGTGCTTAGAACAGAGGGTGTAAAGTATTAGCTACACAGTAAATTTGCTAAAGGAATTGTCACCAAGTGTACCTAGTCAATGTGAGCTTCCAGGAAGAATGAAGTGATTCACTTTAGGATCTGGCCATAGTTCACAGTAATGTGAAGAACATAAGAAATTTTTTTTTTTTTGACAGGCAGAGTGGACAGTGAGAGAGAGAGACAGAGAGAAAGGTATTCCTTGTCCGTTGGTTCACTCCCCAATGGCCGCTGTGGCCGGTGTGCTGCAGCCTGCACACCGTGCTGATCCAATGCCAGGAGCCAGGTGCTTCTCCTGGTCTCCCATGTGGGTGCAGGGCCCAAGGACTTGGGCCATTCTCCACTGCACTACCGGGCCACAGCAGAGAGCTGGACTGGAAGAGGGGCAACCGGGACAGAAACCGGCGCCCTGACCGGGACTAGAACCCGGGATTCCGGTGCCGCAGGCGGAGGATTATCCTATTGAGCCGTGGCACCAGCCAAAGAATTGTATTTTGATTTTGTTCTTTTTAATCTCTGATACTTAAATATGTTAATGCTTTTTAAATAAGTAAATATGACAACTTCCCCTGGCTGCAGAATCTTGATACAAAGTACAAGCCTGCCTGAAAAGAAACAACAAAAATAAAAAAGTCAAATTTATTCATGGTGAATACAAAGAGACTCAGAGAAAGAAAGCACTCAACATCAAAAAGATGTGTATTTTATAATAGCCATTCCAACAGGTGTGAGGTACACTCATTATATCATTATCCAAAAGATAAATGATAGCAACTGTGAGGAAGTAGAGAAAAGAGAACCCTTGTATGCTGTTGGAAATTGGTTTAACCATTTTGGAAAATGGACATTCCTAAAAATAGAATTACATGTGATCTGGAAATCTCACATAGTCAAAGAAATTGAAACTGGTATGGCAAAGAAATAGCTGGACTCCCATGATCATTTCAGCATTATTCACAATATCCAAGATGTTGAAATCATTGAAGTGTCCATCAATGGATAAATAAAGAAAAGGTGCTATTCCATTAGTGGAATATCATGTAGTCTTAAGGAGGATGGAAATGAGGAGGACATGAATGGACATGGAGGATGTTATGTTAAATAAAGTAAGTCAGGCACAGAGGGAAAATACTGCATGATCTCAGTTATGTTTGGAATGTTAAAAAGTCAATCTCATGGATAGAAGGAGTAGGAAGATTATCATGAGAGCCTGGTAGGGGAGGCAGGAGGATGAGGAAAACAGATGTTGATCAAAGTGCACAAAGCCTCAGACAGGAGGAATACGTGTTAGTGATCTATTGCACTGGGTGGTGTCTGTATTTAACAGCAATGTATATTTCAAAATTGCTAAGAAAACTTATTTTTTCTGTTTTGATCCACATAAAGAAAATGGCAAGTCAATGGGGTAATGGGTATGTTAATTAGTTTGACTGAATCTTTCTACAAGGTACACAAAGATCAAAATACCCCTTTTTGGCTCTTAAGATGCATTATTTGTTAACTAAAACTGAAGGATAAAAATAAAATAAAAACCACAGAATGTAGAAGTTGTTTCCTAAGTGTATATTTAGAATGTGGAAGCACTGAAGACACATTCTCTGCCTTGTGATGGGAAATCTGCTCTTTCACACTAAGCTTGGAGCTAATAGACCAGTGTGGGTCTTTCCTTGATGCTTATTTGAATGGAGGATGTTTGTCTCAAGCAGTTTATTTTGTAATCAAATATGTCAGTGTCAGGAATATAGATAGATAATTTCCTTAACCTTATTATATGCTAATAAGGAATATATACTGGTTTGGGGATTATTGCTAAAACTTCCACCAAGATTTTTTTTATAATGAATATAATATAAAAATATTGTAGAAACATGTCTCTTTGAATCATTTGAACTTTATGCTTTTAAGACTTCATATGTTATTTTCAACTGCCAATTAACTTTCTAAGTTCGATGTGTGATATCTTTAGAACACACCTTTGATCTTTTCCTTTGAGTTTTTATCATTCTTCCATACTCATAAAAGACAGATGAGTTTCTTGTTACTTTTTATGTAAGTAACATTCTTCTTTGATTCTTTTCTTTTATATTTTTAAGGTCATTGAAATTGCGCCAAGAAAATTTTGTGCCAATATTCGATGCTGACCTAAGTTTCACAACCATAAAATGTAGACCTGTTATTGACTAGAACTGTGAAGAGTTCTTTGACAATTGCAGAGGTATGAAGCAAACAGCCTGTTTTCTTAGGATTCTCAGAAATGAAAGAACAGACCACAAATGGTAAGAGCCACTTGGGTTCCTCTGTATAAAATAAAAGTGTGTGAAACCTTTTTAGAACATTAGTTATCA